GAAGGTACACAAGTATAACAGAAATGTTACATAACCTTATTCTGTGGCATTTTCAAGGGTTTATATTTTTGTTCAAACTAAAAGGCATACCCTAAAATATATGCATAATATGGTGTATCAGTTAGACCTCAATGAAGATGATTAAAATAAAGACCACGTGTTTATGTGTCAGGGTAACCAACCTGCCACTTCTCATTAATACATGATCTTGGACAAGGTCCTTATTTAAGCTCAAATTCATTACCTGTAATTTAGGAATACTATGAGGATTTAACCAGATTCTGAGCCATTTCAGGGTCTGGCATGAACCTTGAAACCAACAGTCAAGAGTTGTCCCTGATCATGTCAAGAGATAAATAATATGGTTTATAATTCTCTTGTTCTTTTGAGAAGCTACCTCTGAAGGTATCAGGGGTCATGTGTGCTACAGTTACCCACATATCATGCAGGCAGAACACACAGACTTGAGCTTATCAACCCAAAGAGAGGAAGGCTTGTTCCATCAAAGCTTTAGAGCTTTCTGTCCACGCAGGGTGGTCCCTGGCTGCTTGGAGCCTGTGGTAGATATCTGAATGAGAATGTGTGGTGGGATGAGTTGCTCACTTCGTGGTATCCAGGAAGGAAAAAGAGAGACCAAAACAGGCATCCACAATGTCTTTGCAAGGCATGCTGCCAGCGGCCTATGTCAGTTGACTCCACTTTGAAGCATTTCATCAGCTCCGAATAGTATCACTCTGGAGTCCAAACCCTCCATACATAGGCTTTTGGGAGACATTTCAGGTTCAGATCGTAGCACTATTCGTTGGAAAAGCATCTTCCAGTTCGTAAACAAGCAGCAGGGGAAACTGGATTAATTTCTTTTCCTAGCTAAGTATAATAATATCTTGTTCCTAGATACAGGGAAAGTTCTGGCTCTTTAAGACAAAATGACATCTTCCGGGGACAAGGTATCCAGTTATAGTCAGGCTGACATGAGTTGATCCAGCTAGGTGTCAGAACATCAGATCCCTCTTGGACTCATTTATGGTGTCACGTTTCCCTAAGGTTTCTGCCTTTCTTGTTTATGACATCTTGTCTGACAACTTGAGCCTGCCCTGCCCATGATTTGGTCATCTGCCACTTACCTTATGATTACAATCTCAGTGGCAACTCCTGCCTGAATTTACCACCTTCTCACAGATGGACCATTTAACCACACTCTGACTAACAGATTCCACGTGTCTCCTGTAAAACTTCTGACCCAGATGGCTCCTGCCTGCTGCTTCCCTTGGAGCCCGCAGAAGCATGAACTCTTGAGACTGAATGGCTCTCTCCTCATACCTGAGAGAAGTACAAGCATTTTTGGCAGGAGGTTTATCTGAACTTCTGAGCTGAAGCATCGCAGCTACATTCCTGCATCCTTGCAAGGGATTCCAGTCCAAGATAAGACATTCGAATGAGATGGGTTGAGTTTAACATCAGATTTAGATGAAGATGCATTTTATAGCTTTGGTACAACACCATTCCTTACTCACCCATATATGTCCTTAGAGGAAGCCCTTCTGCTCACCAGAATTTTTCCCAGTTTAATTTTTAATTCCAGTGATCTTTGGCTGTTCCCATGTTAACTTAAACACATGCTCTATGAGCTTTTGTCCTGCCCCTTTGGGCAGTGCTGCATGGTGTGGAGTCTGGACTTTCATCTTGGGCAGATGGGGATATCAGCTCTGCTGTGCTTGATTGCTGTGGCTCAGAGGAGAGCTCTCAGTCCTAGATAATCTGGGTTTGCTTTTGCTCATGGAACATGCCAGTATCACCCCTCTCATCATCTCTGCACTTGCTGTCCCCTTTCTTGTGGTCCAGGCTGGTCTCAGAACTCCCAAACTCAAGTGATACTACGAACTCAGCCTCTCAAGAAGCTGAGACTTGAAGTGCACTCCTGATGCACTCTCCTTGTCTAGGTCTTCTGAAGGTAGTCCTTGTCTTCCCGATAGCCGTTTAATGTTATCTCTTTGGATGGGACTTTCCTGGGCCTACATAGGCCCAGTCTCTATGATGTCATCTTGCTTTACTTTTCTTCTAGTATTGCTCTTATTTATGTATTTTTGGGTCATCCCAATTAGAGTACATAGTTTTCAGAAGCAGGAAAAGCCCTTATCTGTCTTTTCCACCACCATATCTCTAGAGCTTGGAATTATACCTAGTCCAAACAGGGTAAATTCTTTAGAAGTATTTGTGGAATGGATCAACAAGTCAGCGCCTCTAAGCTTCAGTTGCTCTGTAAAATAGAGACTATAGTCTCCCCTTCAGGGTTAGTGAAGGTCAATACTTAGGAACAAATGTTCATGGAGGGATCGAATGCATGTGTGGTGTGCACTGTGTGCTATAAAGGACAGACCTAGTTGTAGCTATTTTTTTTCTGCCATTCTCTCTTCTCTAGTACGTAGTTTCCCCTGTAACTTTGTACATATCTTATTGCTGTGTATATGGAATGAACTCAGTGAAACCTGGTTTATCTGTTTATATTTCACTTGAGATAGGGGTCTGACTTGTGGTCCAGGCTGGTCTCAAAATTCCTGAACTCGTGATACTACTAACTCAGCCTCCCAAGAAGCTGGAACTAGAGGTGCACACCACTGAGTCTGTTTATAAATTTAATCAAAATAAAGTTTCTTCTGTTTTTTAATGTAAACTTTCTGGTAGTTTTTTTTTTCACAGTCTCAGCTTGTGAATTCTCTGCCCTGTGAGTCTTTTCTTGGCTGTTCACAATGGCAAGGTTAGGGGACTTGGTGACTATTCCCTGTGTGACTTTGGCCAGAGACATTTGACTTCATTCATGCGCTTGCAGGTAGAGCTTTCTCCACTAGACCACACACACTTTGAGTCTTCCTCCTTGTGTTCCTAACGACAGGCCCCAGCCCTGGTGGCACTCTGTAGAGGCACCGAAGGATTGGATTGGATTGTTGTGGGAGAACACCCACATCAGCCAGCTCGCAACCAACTGTAACTCCTGTTCCAGAGAGATCTGACAACTCTGGCCTCTGCAGGCATCTGTACTCATGTACACACACACGCACGCACGCACGCACACACACACACACACACACACACACACGCACGCACACACATGCAAATCATTAAAAAATTTAGTCCTCTATTCCTCTAGTCACATTTCAAGTAGTCAATAGGGAATTGGGGTGTAGCTCAGGGGCAGAAAATAGCCTTCCCATAAAGGAGGACTTGGGGTCTCTTCTCAGCACAGGAGAAAAGAAGTCCTTTGTAGTATTCTAACAACTTTCCTATTTAATAGCCCCGCTCTAGAGTTCAGAGCAGTCCAGAGTTGGGAATACAAAAAAACTGATGTTTGTGTAGATAAGGTTTAACAGTGTAGGAAGAACATGCTCAGGGAAATGGGAAGTGGTAGGACTGAGAGTCAGTTACCTTCAGCATGCAAAGGCCAGTGAAGAACAGAAAGACTTCAAAGGGTACAGAGAAGAAGCAGTCAGAGACAGAAGGAAAAGTCAAAGGCAAAGGGTGTACAGAGGAGACGGGAGGAGCAGCAGCCACAGGATGCTGCAAGGAGGGTCAAAGAGATGAAGACAGAACAGGCTTATCCCGTCCGTCCGTGAATTAGAGACTTCCGGCCACTCCAGCCAGAGCTATGTCAGTGGAGGCTGGCACGAGAGGTAGAGTAGATGGGGAGCATGAGATCATGGAGAGAGAACTGACAACCGCAGAGAAACATATGCGCTCCATGTTCCAAGGCAATCACATTACAGTTTAGTCAGGCAAAACATAATTAACATTACAGACACGTCTTTAGAGCATCGCATCTTCCCCATAAGTTACCGACTTTCAGTGTGCTTATCATGACTATGAGGACTGTACTTCTCTCTTACCCTGACCACTTTGGTGGCTGGGTAAAGAGGGGGGATCACGTAAGGGCTCAGAGGAGGCCATGTTAAGAGTGTTTGTTGTTCAGCCTTACGATCACAGAACAGGACAGAAGGCATGCCTTTCTGTTCTGTTTTCTAGAATTTAGAAAAAACACAAGGAGACAGAAAGGCATAGCCAGACCTTGATGTCTCCTCACTCGGCACCTCTGTTCTATAGCTCCACCCCTCCCATACTCTAACCACAGGATGGAAAGGTTTGAAGTCTGAGAGCAACATGATTACACAGGTGTTGAAAAGATCATTGCTGCTGCCAAGTACTAACACACACACACACACACACACACACACACACACACACACACACACTGTATATTTTTGCTGGCCCAAACTCTTGGGCTGAAGCCATCCTTCTGGCGCAGTCACCAGGAGAGCTGTGACTACTGGCCACTTCTCCCTGCTAGACAATAAATATTCAAAGCCTCGCAGGCCATACGGGTTCTGTCGCAATTGTTGCACTCTGTTGTTCTGCCCTGAAAGCAGCCCCAGACTGTATATTAATAAATGTGTGGCTGTGTTCTGCTAAGATATTACTTGCAGACTGAAATTTTCATGTCCTTTTAATGTGGCACAAATATTTGGATTCCCTCCCTCATGATTTAAAAACATAGAAAACATTTTTTGAGGGTGTGGGCAGGCTGGGCTGGTAGCACAGGCTTATAATCTCAATAACTTGGAAGGTAGAGGTAGAGGCAGGAGGAATGCAAGTTCAAGACCACTCTGGGCAATTTAGCAAGCTCTGTGCCAAAATAAAATTTAAAAAGTAAAAACAACTCTGGAGTGATATTTTCCTAGGTTACGTCTCCAATACTGCAAACGAACAAATTAGAAAACAAAAAATAATCTTTTGCTCAATAAACAATATAAAAACAGGAGGTGAGCAGATAGGGCCTATAGTTTCCTACTCGTTAGGTTAGAGCAGCGACTCTCAACCTGTGGGTCACGACCCCTTCGGCAAACCTCTATCTCCAAAAATATTTACATTACGATTCATAACAGTGGCAAAATTATAGTTATGAAGTAGCAATGAAAATAGTTTTATGGTCGAGGAGTCACCACAACGTGAAGTCTATTAAAGGGTCACAGAGTTAGGAAGGCTGAGAACCACTGGATTAGAGAATGACTGGAGGTAAGGTGCAAGACCTGCCCAAGGCAAAAATCAAAAGAGTCAACCTACCTAGGAGGCAGGCAGAGAGGGACGGGGAGGGAGGGAGAGAGAGATTAGTTAAGTACCACCGCTTTTGTATCTATGAGTGCCGGCTATGCCACAGGCATAATGTTAGGGTCGAAGCTGTAGAAGAGTGTTAGTATTTCTTGCTATTTAAACTAGCTAGATGTGAGGTTTTGCCTGCATTGTGTCATGAGCTACAACTGAGCAGCATGGAATGTGGAGCTTAGTTCCTCTTGAGAAACATCAAATAGCACTTTCAAGAGTCACATTAGGTAGGAACTTCAAAGATACACAGAAGCCTTGTCATGTAGGTTAAGTGGTATACTTAGCAGGGAATACAAACGTACGCCCCATCTCCTGGTCTTTGAATACTGCTAACCGAGGAGAATGCAGGAAAAATACTAGGTAAGCGTGTAGGCCAAGGAACCTGTCAAGTAGCTATAGTTGACAACAATTAGTTGTGTATTTCATTATAGAGAGATTTTGAATGTTTCCAGCACAAAGAAATGGCAAATGTCTGAGGGGAAGATGTGCCAGTTACTCTCACTTGGTCATTAGACACTGTACGCAAATGATGAAATATGTATTGTACCTATAAGTATCTACAACTGTTATGCATAAATTAAAATGTATTAAAAAGTAAAGTTGCAAAGATGGAGTGTCTGTGGGGGACGACAGTTGGACCACTAAATTGTCCTAGATGCTCCAGGCTCTCTCTTCATCTTCCGGCTCTTGCCAGTCTCTGTTCTCACACAGCTCCAAGCCCTTCCCACACTTCTGTAAGATGCTAAGCACGACACAGTCTCAGCCCCTTTGCCCTGGCTGTTCCACTGCCCAGAGTCCGACTTCTTCATCACTTTATTTCTCAGCGGCCTCCTCTGGTTCCAGTCTGAAACAGAAACTGTAGTTAGGTTTACTTGATTTTTCTCTCCTCACCCCAGCATTGCTGATTACATCATGCTTTGGCTTATTGTCTAGATTCTCTTCTCTAAACGTACGCTTCCAAACGTAGAGGCTCTCTGTTGCCTCTAAAATCTAGACTAATGCCTGGCGAAACAGAGGCACATGAGAGTGAAGTTCATTTTCCAGATCTACAGGCCCTGCATAGGCAAAGTCAACGGAGCTCAGGTTGAGTATTTTCAGGGTAATACTGTGTCAGATCCAAGCTTCTATAGTCTTTTTTTCCTTGTCCTTATCTCTTTATAGGTTAGTAAGGATCTGTAAGGAATTTACATTGTATCAAATAGCATGAGTAATACATTGGTGATTCAAAGTATACTGCAACATGCACAGGAATACACAATTTGATTGATTGATCTACTAATTGACTGGATCTTGCCCAGGCTGGCCTTAAACTCTTGATCCTTCTGCCTCAGACTCCCAGTGCCGGGATCACAAGCATGTGCCTCCATACTCGTTATGCAAGTGATTGGGCATTTGAAGATTTTGCTATCTAGGGGGAATCCTAAAACCAGTCCTCCATGGGTATGGAGTGATGACTGTAATAGTCAAATCAGTAAGAGAACTAGGAAGAGGGTAAGAAAGGCAAGGGAAGGAGAGAGAGGAGAACGGGTTTGCAAAGGAGCAGGGTCTTCATCTTACTGACCAAGTAACATGGGACTGTGTCTCCTGAGAGAGAGGGGGAGTCGAGGGTTGGAACATCTGTCGAAACAGGCAAGAGAAGCATGGGGGAGACACATGCCAAACAGATAGGTAATTGCACTGTGCCTAGGGGTGGGGTGAGGTAAAGCGAGAAGGCAGCTCCTCCCCAACCAGCTTGAGGTAATTTCATTTATCTTTCTTGGAGTCAAACGCAGAATGACGGGGTGGGGAGGACCAAGCTGAGGCTCCTGGAGGAGTAAACAGGTGAAGGGGGGAATGGAGGAAAAGTGAACCTTGGAAGGCAGCAGCGACCCATCTCACAGCCCTGTATGACTTACACGGAACTGAAGGAGCGAAGGAAAGCACACACAGGGCTTCCTCAGTTTCAGGGCACTGGGATTTAAAAAAATCTCCCAACTAAAAACATACCTGCTATTTGGCAGCTGGAAATTCTCAGTTGGCTGGAAGCGAGTTTCAGGACAAACTGCCAGCGACTGTCCCTTTCTCTCTCCCGTCCCTTGGGCAGGGCACTTGTGTCAACAACAGTAAAGACACGCAGGAGTAAATGATTCACATTCTTCTGTTCTTGCTTCCATTTTACTGCAGTAGTTTTTTTTTTTTAAACTAATCTAGAGTTGTCAGTGTTCAGACTAAACAAATGTACCGTGTGTAGTCAGTTTTCTGGAAATAATGAGGTGAGCTCCCCATTCCTTGACCTGTTGGGAACTGGAGCCATAGTGACCAATAGGAATTCTTTTTCTGGATGACTGTATGTAGATCATATCTCAGGCTGCTGTTTGTTACGGGAAGGAACTGAAGACGGATGGAATAGGAAAGATTTGTGGTGTTAAAAGGTCCCTGTATGAACGACTGAAAATGACTTGCTCTCCACAACTGTGCAGAAGCTTAGTGTTAGATTTTCTTTCATTTTTTGTTAGGATTTTAGAATTTAGCATGCTCCGGATTGATTTCCTCTTCCATGAGACCTGTTCTACTCAGAAGGTTACCCATCTCAGTTTGCGGCAACTTTCATCCTTCAGGACCAAGATCTTGGAGTCATTCTTGACTTCTCTCACATTTCATATTTACTGTGTGTGGAAACCCTGTGGGTTCACCTGTCAAAGAATAGACTGTAGTGAGATTTTGTTTGTGATCTAACAAGTAAAGCTTGCCTGAAGATCAGAGTGCAGGGCTAAGCCACTAGTTAGCCATAGAGGCCAGTGGTGGCACACATTTTTAATGCCAGCAGTCAGGAGACAGAGGCAGATGGATCTCTGTGAGCTCAAGGCCACCTTGGGCTACACTAGATTGATCCAGTCTAAAAGAGAAACAGAGCTAGGGGTGGTGGCTCACACCTTTAATTCCAGTACTTGGGAGTCACATGCTTTTAATCCCAGCATTAAGGAGGTGGAGACAGGAAGGGATATAGCTGGGTGGAGAGAGGAACACAGGCGGGAGGAAGACCAGAGCTCAAATGCAATCTGAGAATTCCTAGAGACAGGGCCTCTTCAGTCTGAGCATTGGCAGAGATAAAAGGTCTCTCTAGTGGCTGGCTGTTCTGCTTCTCTGATCTCTCAGCTTTCACTCCATAACTGACTCCAGGTTTTTATTATTGAGATCAACTAGAATTCGTGCTACAATAGATCCTCCATCTGCCTGCCTGTCACGACACCCGCCTTGATCATCCATACCCCTTACTTTCATCTCCTGTCTACAGCATTACAAGGGCCTCCTAGAGACTCTCTCAGTCTTTTCTAGTAGCTGGACGATCCTATTGAAACAACAGTGTACATTATTCTTCTGTTAAAACCCCTTTCTCATTGTTTTCCTACTGCTTTAGTTAGAGTTTCTATAGCTGTGAAGAGACACCATGACCATGGCAACTCTTATAAAGGAAAACATTTAATTGGGACTGGCTTACAGTTTCAGAGGTTTAGTCCAGTATCATCATGGTGGGAAGCCTGGTGGCATGGAGGCAGACATGGTGCTGGAGAAGGAGGTGAGAGTTCTACATCCAGATTGGCCGGCAGGAGGAAGAGAACCAGACACAGTAGGACAAACTTGAGCTTCTGAGACCCAAAGTTCACTTCCAGTGACACAGTTCCTCCAACAATGCTACACCTGCTCCAGAGAGACCATAAAACCATACTTCCCAATAGTGCCAGTTCCCATGAGCCTATGGGACTCTTCCTACACACTAATGTCCTTATAATAATAGTCCATAGGCCTTGGTTTACTTGACTATTTTTATGTGTACGGATGTTGATTGCATGTATGTATGTGTACCATGGTGGCCAGAAGAGAGCAACAGATTCCCCACCCCAGAACTAGAGTTGACAGTCATTGACTGCCTTGTGGGTGGGTGTTGGGAATTAAACTCAGGTCTGTTGGAAAGCAGCAAATGTTTTCAGCCATTGAGTCATCTCCCCAGCTCCTACTCAATCCTGCATATCACCCTACCTTATATACTCTCCTCTGTCTCATACACTATCTTAGCCTTTTTGGTAGACCTGAATACACTAAGCAGGCTTCTCTCTCTGGGGCTAACTATTGGCTAATCTGCTTGGAAGCTTTCTTTCACAGATTCATGTAGCTTGTTCCTTCAAGTTTGCGCTTCGTAGTGAGGCCTGTTTTGAATACCCTATTAAAAAATACATCGTTAAGCCTCATCCTTATATAGTCTATTTCCTTACCCTGGTAAATATAAATGGTCTTAAAATAAAATATTTATTATCAAAACACTTAAATACTGGTTTTATTGCCTATTCAACTTTATTTTGTTCATTGATTGATCCATAGTACTTAGGATACGTAGTACATAGTTAGTATTTTGATAAATATTACTGAATAAATGGAGGTCTGGATTTCCTTTACTTAACCCAGGATAATCTTAAAATTAATAGACTCTAACTAAACTAGGTCTCATTAGAACATTAAATTTTAGTCGCATCAGTTATAATTTCATACTTAGATATAGGAACCGGGAAGGTGCCGATAGGGAGTTTGATGGTAATTTTGGTTAGGGATATGTTAAATTAAGAAACATTCTTTATTTGTTGTTTATTTATGTATTTGGAGACAGGGCATGTAGCCCAGGCTGTCCTCAGACTCCTGATTCTTCCTGCCTTGGCCTTCCCCGTGCTGGGAGGACAAGTGTGCAGCACTACTTCAATAAGGACTGTTAATTCTTTTTATTAAAACCAGGGGCTTACACACTGTATCACCGAGCTATGTTCCCAGACTTTCTAGTTTATGTTTGAGACCTATTCTACCAAGCTGCCCAGGCAAGTCATTTTATTGGGATCTTCCTGTCTCAGCCTTCTGAGTCGTTGGGAATATAACTATGTGCCACAGGTCAATTTTTAATTTAATTTTAAAAAGGTGAAGCTTTTTTTCTTGTTGTTTTGTTTTGTTTTTGGTAAGGGCTTACTCTTTCAGGCCAGACTTGCCTAGAACTCACTGTCATCCTCCTACCTCAGCCTCACAAGCGCTGAGATTACAAAAGTATGCCACCACATTCAGCTGGCTTTATTTTTGAAGCTACATAAATCCAGGTGCATTATTTCATTTTGTTTTCGGGAATCTTGTGTAATGATATAGAATTCCGAGTGAGCTAGCATGCGCTACTTAACCTGAAGTGAGCTTCTGTGAGTTACAGTTGCTGAAGCCTTTGTCCCTCTGGATGGTGGGAGAGGGCACCTCACCTAGTGTTGCTCAATCGAAGCAGAACACTGCACTTTTCCCAGCATGCGCTTCCGTAGCACGAAAAGATCCGTGTTAAGTTTATAGGGTGTGACAAGCGGAAGAGCGCCTCAGAAATCTGTTTTGCACATTTTTCAAACCTTTGACAGTTCAAAAGCATACACAACACCTCCCAGTTCAGGAATATCGAAGAGTTTTTTTTCTTCTTACATCATAGCAAATAACCTTTTAGATGAGGCCGTGGACATGGCCTGAGGAGTTGGAAGGAAGGACAGATTCGAGATCTCCTGCTGCCAAGAACGTGCTCCGAGGCCAGGCGGACTCGCGAGTCTCCATCTTGTGGGGCGGTCAGATCCCTCAGGGCTCCCCGAGTCAGGTGTGTGACGCGGCGCCGCGGGGCCTTTCTGCGCCTCGAGGTAGGATCACGGTCCCTAAGGCAAAGGGCTCAAGTGTCTTGTGCAATTCAGGACTGTCGTGGAGGTGAGGGACACAGCCCTGGGCTCCATCCCAGTGTTTTACGATTATTGTTCTCGGGAGCCTGGCTCCGCCTGGAGGCGCGCACACGAGCAGCTCCGCCCCGCCCCCGAGCCCACACTGTGCTCCCGAGGCGAAAAGGTTCCCGCCCCTCTGCCCCGCCCCCAGCTTCTACGCCTGCGCTCTGGTCGCCCCGGCCCGGGATCTTTCCCTCCCTCAAGCCTCCGGGCGCGCCGCGGGCGGGGCCTCGCGGGAGGGGGCGGGGCCCGAGCGCCTCAGTGGGGGCCCGACGGGGATTAGTTGGTTTCGGAGAGGAGGAGGAGGAGGAGGAGGAGGAGGAGGAGGAGGGAGTCGTAATCGCCCAGACAAAGCCGCGTCGCGTCCCGGGGACCGGCGAGGGAAGTGGGCCGGGGGCTCGGTGGCGTCCCAGTCGGCTGAG